ACCCCGTAAATCACCAATAATTGTCTACAGTATCCTCTAAATACTCAGTGACTCTCTCTTCTTCATCCTGTTAGTTACCACACTGACCCGAAACAAGATTATCAAGTCTAGCCTCATCTGCTGCAATTGCCTTCAAATTGTTCCCTTCCTATATTTTGCTATGATTTGGTTTCCACATTGCACCAAGAGAAATACACACCCTCTCTGTTGTTCTTAGTAAAAAGTCCAAATTTTTAAAAACACCATACCAAACTCTAGAGTATCTGCCACTTGCCGCGATCCTCAGAGTCGGTGCTGGCCCCATGTCCCTTCTAAGTTCTAGCCACATTTAACTTCTTTCAGTTTTTGACTTTATAATTTTTTTAATCTCCTGGTTATTCTACACTATTTTCTCTGTCTGAAATGGGTTTTGTTGTTTGTTGTTTTTAGTCTGCAATAGATTGAAATTATTTTTTAGTTCTATAGCTAGATGGTACTTTTTCAGGTTGGCATGCATTCCCTTAGAGGTAGCTTAAGACAGGGCATCTGCTTTATATTTTTATGGCTCTATGTACTTGTGTCACAACACACATCTATCTATCTATCATCCGTCTACCTATCTCATCATCTAAACAGCAACTTGTTTATCATTGCACCCCTACCATTCAGGTAACTATTACTTAGTAAACACTCAATAAATATTTGTTTAAAAAGAAATAAAAACTAAGATTTTATTTTTTTTAAAAAAAGTCACTTATTTTTTCTTTTGATTACATTAATATCCTATGTATTTGATTTGCAAAAGTTTATACTTGTTTCTAATTTACTGGATTATTCTGATGGCACACACAGGAGAATTATACCACAGAATTTGTACATTTAAAAATTCTCAAAATTTCCATTTATGAACTGTATAATATATACTGATAATAGAAAACTTCTGCATGAAATGAGTGTGTCATCATATAGCTCCCAATACACAGTGCCATCCAGGAATGTGAGTGAGTAACTGGGAAGCAATCTGGGGCTTAGCCACATGGTGGTCTGTCCACAAATCCTCTGGAGAGGGAGGCAGCATTCAGTGCACATCTGTGCAAACACTGCTTACTCTGGCTAATGTCTTCAAATTCAGGGATTTAATACAAGGGCCTTTGCTTAGCTTTGTTTTAAGAGAAGTTTTCCTACTGCCGTTTTCAGCTATCAGAGTGAATCTTCATAACTCTAAGAGGCTGAGCAAATTGAGTTGTGTAGGTGTATACGTGTGATAGCTGTGTGTGGGGTTAGAGAGACGCAGAGAGAGAGAGAGAGAGAGAGAGAATGAGGTACACAGAAATAACAAAACATGTCCAGAGAAAAGCAATTTTGTCTAGTGAATGAAGTTCACAAATCTGAGAAAGTCAATTTTGCCAGACTATCCCACAAAGCACAGGATTGCAAGTGATGTGAGTATTGATTGCAAATGTGGTTAAGTGTTTTGTACTTATCCGACATTGTATGCTTTGTGAGGGGAGAATAAAACTACAAAATTGGATGAGGATCTCTTGATATAAGTATCAATAACCTAAAACAAAACTACTGCATAAGTTTGAGGTAAAATCATGGAATGTTTTTCTCTGAGCCTGCATCTGAAATTCTCCTTTCCAGATGAACTGCAATGAAAGGAGTATATGACTGACTATATAATGAACAGGGTAACCATGATTTTAAAAACTGGGATCAAAAAACAACTTTTTCTAAGCAAATATAAACAAGATTATTTTCTTTCCTTTGGAAATCAAAAATAAAAAGATTTAGAATTTCGTAATATATATGGCTCAAAATTCATATGGTGCAAAATGAATAGAAGAAAACTTAGACACATCGCTACAGAATAGTGACAGCTCAAATAATTTTTGTCCGAAATCCAAACACCTCATGTTCTTACTCATAAGTGGGTGTTGAACAATGGGAACACACGGACACAGGGAGGGGAACACCATACACCGAGGCCTCATGGGTGGAGGGTAGGGGAGGAATAGCAGGGGGTAGGGGAGGAATAGCAGGGGGTAGGGGAGGAATAGCAGGGGGTAGGGGAATTGGGGAGGGATAGCATTAGGAGAAATATCTAATGTAGATAACGGGGTGATAGATGCAGCAAACCACCACCATGGTATGTGTATGTCTATGTAACAAACATGCACAATCTGCACATGTACCCCAGAACTTAAAGTATAATAAAAATAAACAAACAAATATATTACCTCAAAATACCCACGTGTGTTTTTTTGTTTTTTAAAATCCAATTCACTCTGTATTTCCTGCATTGGTGCTAGATAGCAGCAGGAAAACAATAATAAAAAAGCCTTGGCCAAGCCAGGTATTTATTTATTTATTTATTATTTATTTATTTATTCTTTGAGATGGCATCTTGCTCTGTCATCTAGGCTGGAGTGCAGTGGCACAATCTTGGCTCACTACGACCTCTGTCTCCCAGGTTCAAGCGATTCTCCTGTGCCAGCCTCTCTAGTAGCTGGGATTACAGGCATGTGCCACCATGTCCAGCTAATTTTTGTATTATTAGTAGAGATGGGGTTTCACTATGTTGGCCAGGCTGATCTTGAACAACTGACTTCATGATCTGTCTGCCTCAGCCTCCTAAAGTGCTGAGGTTACAAGTATGAGCCATTGCACCTGACTTTTTTTTTTTTTTTTAATAAAAACACAGGATGGTCTTTAATGTTCTAATGTTTGAAATATTTAATCCCAATAATTAGTTTTAAAAATATGAAAAGACACAAGGTAGGCTAGATATTGAAGGGATTACTACGAAGTATTAGTATTCAGTCAATATTCAGCACATCTTTCATATACAAGAAAATGTTAAGCTGAGAAAAAGGCAGTAGAAAGGCAAGTCGGGTAAAGTTTCTGTCATAAAGAGCTATCTAACATGAAAATTGTGTTTGTTTTTCACTATTTTCTGATCTTTTATAAAAATTATTTCATAATATAGCAAAGTTGTACTTAAGAAATTATGAACACTTTAAGCCTTTAGGAAAGTTGTTTCTTATTATGTTCATGTTAGAACACCAGTACATGAAAATAGAATCGGTATAACTAGTATCCTATACTAAATGATCAAGCAAATACAAACTAAACATATTTCTTCCAAGATGTCCTAAATATAGCTAGAGAAGAAGGTTGCTTGAAACATATAATTTAATAATATAGCTTAAAATAATATAGTATAACTATCCAATTTCTGAATATCAGAGATGCTTACTGATATATAACAATGAATCTGAGTAAAATTTAATTCTGTAAGCATTTGCTTCCCCAAAGTCTCACTGAATTAAGTGGAATGGCAGTGTGCTTACTTTTCAAAGTGTTGCTGCCAATAGGGTCAGCCTTCTGACAAAATGGTGAATGTTGAATTAATATTTAAAAGTATAACCCAAAAGTATACAAGTATTTACTTTAAAATTCTTCTAAGATACTTAATTCTAAATCATTTACATACATTTGTTTCTCCAATTCCAGATTTGGATCTTTCAAATAGTGCCAAAAACATTATATACTCTTATTCAAATTGAAGACCCTGCCAGTTTGGGGTTGTTGGGCTTAAAATACAGCACTAAAATTTTATTCTATTCATACATTCCCATTAGGGATATTTATGACTCTAATTTTCTTCAGTTATACAGACTTTCCTGAGGATATGATTCTTATATTAAACTCTGAAACTCAACTATACATATTTGAAGCCTGGGTCAAAGTGATTACAATGGTTTTATTTCTGTGGCACTGTGTCAAATCTTCTAAAATATCAGTGAGTTAATAAAAGCCTTAAAAGATAATTATTTTTGAAGATGAATTAAATGAACAAAGTACCTTTCAGAAATAATATAAATAACTTCTTTGGATAAGATATAATGCAAAATAAAAAATAAGGAAAATTCATTAAGAAAATGAAGCACACTAAAACCCAGTAACTAAGTGTTAAGTTAATGGTTTTTTAAAATTATTCTTTCCTTCATTCAACCAACAGTTACTGTATTTTACTATGCATAAGGTATTAGGTTAGATGCACTGGGTACAATGATGGGTAGTTCAAACCGATCCCCAGACACAATTACTTTTCTTCTTTAAAACTATTTCCCCTAAACCATTGACGTATCCTGTTTTTCTAAGGTTTATGCTGTTTGACAAATCTTTAATCCAAAGCGTGTTTGGCTTTCCTGTATTGAACAGATCTAGTCCATCTTGTATTCTTATTGGCACTGATGTGAAAAAACATGAAGTTTTTTCAAACTTACTTGTGGTATTAAGTTTGAAAATTATTTCTCTCTCTAGTAAGAGAGAAAATCTCTGCACAAGTTTGCATGGTGTTAATTTTTTTTTAAAGTATATCTATTCCCTTAATGGGGACCTATTTGTAAATTACAGAAGTTATGCTAAATCCACAAATATACATAACTGGCAGATTTTTTAAAAAAAAACATTTGAATATATTAAATGACACATTAACTTCTGCAGAGCAAATTTCTGAGAAAACTTTGAAGAGCATGGCATCTGGAATATCCCTTTCTTTATATTCTTAGAAATACAAAATATATTTATCACCTAAGAAAAGTAATGATTAGAACAGCTGCAAAATGCTAATGGATATTAGAAGTCCCTAAAAACATCCTGTTTTATTTACAGTGATAATTTAACTTGAATAAATTAACTTTGGAGTTATGTATATTATTTGACAATAAAATTTTTAAATTACACTAATATTAGAAATATAAGAAATGTTATATTTACATATTATTTGTAGTGTCTTTAAATTTAGTGTTGGTCACTAAAAATACTTTAAAACTTATTTTAGAACACAATTAATATAATTTCAGTATAAGCCAGAAATGACAAAACTGAGAGCCCTACACAAAAGTAAGCTAATTCGTAATGTACACATAATCTCTATAATGCACCACAGCCAAACTGCCAGTTATTAATGGAAAAAAAAAATAACTACTGAAATGCTTAAATCTTGCACTTACCAACCTCCACAACACTAGAACAGTTGGGGTCTGTGAAGCCATCTGGACACTCACAGGAAAAGGAACCATCATCCAATCCTGGCAAACAGATACCTCCATTTTCACATGGATTGGGATCACAAATATCACCTGAGTTATAAAAAACACAGAAATTGACATTTGGTTTTTGTCTTCGGCATTGAAACATACTAGTTCACTTTCCCACAGATAATCCCTTGGCAGTCAAAAGTCAGGGTAATATTAAGAATCACACATAAGATTTGCAAGATTCATTTCAAACCATATGCTCAAAAAAATAACATGCAACATGGTAAAAATTAAACTGCGTAATTCAAGCACTGCTATGAAAGCTACTAGTTCAGTTTAAACTTCCTTTATAATATATAAAGAGAGTGCTGTCTAATTGGTTAATAAGCATTAACCTAAATATCTGTAGGAAACTAGTACCATTAATAACTCTAATAAATACCCTCTCTATATCCACACAGTTCACTCTTTTACTCTTTAAAGCAGGGGAGTTTATTTCTGGATCTCTGGAAGCTGGGATTGTCCATGTGACTTGCTTTGGCCAGTAGGTCCTTAACAGGCTTGAAGGCAACAGAGATTTGAAAAGCACTTGAAGATTTCTACTTCCTCTCCTGGAGTGTTGAGATTGCCATGTGAATGAATTCAGGCTAGCTTGCTTCAGATGGGCGAAAGAAATGCGAAAGTGTAGGAGAGAAACTGCTACAGAAAAATAAGTTATGCCATAACCAAAACCCCAAAATATGTGACCTAGGCTGTGGCAATGGGTGGCAGACAGTATGTGGAAAAGCAGTGATGACCATGGGAAGCTAGAAAAATGGCTACCCATTTTACGTAGCAAGTAGTCGTCGACAAAGCTGATATCTGAGGTCACTTGGGAAGTAGAAAATGCATGCAATGGACTTTTGGATATGAGTAAGGAGACTTCCAGACAGACTGTTAAAGCATTCGTTGGCTCTTACTGCCTGCATATGATAAGGTACTACAATAAAGAGATGAGCTAAATAAACAACCAGCCAGTTTGAAAGTAAAGGGAAGTAGTATACAAGGACCAGGACTTGTGTTAGAAAACACAACCATTTCTAAACTCCCATCTCTCAAAGTGCTAAATTATCAAATGCCCAAACGACATGGCCCCAACATTAATATCAAATCATGGATGTGGCTATAAGTCTCTGTGTGAAAACATTTCACATACTTGGGATGGAGCCTGACAGATCTTCTCAGCTAAATTAAAGGGCTTCTAGAGACCTTAAGGACTGTCCCTGAGAAGCCTCACATACCCAGAGTAGCAACAATTAAGTCTGGAGTAAAAAGCAGGCACCAGACAGAATCATGGGTGTGGCTTTATTGCACAGAGGATTTGAATCAGATTCACAAAAATCCATACAGTTTTAAAGGGGGCTTTGTAGGTGAAAATGCCACTTTCTAGACTTAATGAGTATGAGACTTTTCAAAATAAAAAAGCACCTGGGTCCCAACTTCCTACTAATTTGTATTTCTTAGCTGCGTTATTCTTTCCAAGGTTTTCAACATGAGAATTTAGTCTCTTCTTCAGATGAAACACTTTACAAATATTAGAAAACTGAAAATTCATGTTATGACTTTTGTCAAATATAAACCAAGTCATTAGCCATACTAAGATGATAGATTAAAACAGTACATAAGCACTGGAGCAGATCTTAGAAAAAAAGAGTTCCGAAATGAATGAATGAATGTTTGGGGAATACCAAAGAGTTTAGTGTGGCTGGACCATGGAGTATTTTATCTGGAATGGCTAAGAAAGTATAAATATGTTAGATCACGGAGGATTAAAAAGTGACATTACAATTTTTAAGATGAGGAGTCAATGAGAGAGTGTTTAACAATTTTAACAATTATTTTAAAGTTTGGACACGGTCACATCTAAATTAAGAACACAATCCTGCCAGCATTTTGAATGGGGTGGTTGATGACTGATAAAGATACTTCAATAGACTTGCTATCATTTATCTATCTATCTGTCTATCTATCTATCTATCATCTATCTGTCTATCTCTATCTATCTATCCACACATATAGCTAGCTAGCTATCCTTCCATTTGTCTTTGAATTTGTCTATCTGTCCTTCTGTTCCTTGAATACCTATTGCATGGTAGGCAGTGAGGTAAGTGCAGTATATACCAAACTAAATAACAGAATATGGAGCTTAGCAGGAGTGATAAAAATGCAGGAACAACTACAATTATACTACACAGTAGTAAGACCTGTGATTGGTATACATGATCCCAACTGTGGGATCAGTGGAGACTTTTAAGGAGATTCAGTGTTATCAGGTGATGAAGAGGAGAGAACATATGCTCAATGTTCCAGGCAAAGGGAATAACATACTTAAAGGGAAAAGATTGTGTCTCATTCCAGGAACTTCAGGTAGCGCATTGTAGCTAGAATATGATAAGGTCCAAAAGGTAGGAATACCATATGAATCAAGATTTTGTAAGCTTTGCCAAAAATTTTGGCGTTTATCTTTAAACATTAGAAAATCACAAAAGAACTTGAAATATGGGAAAGTATAGCACCACATTTGTGCTTTGGAACAGTTACTAAGGCAGCAATGTGTTGAATGAGATGGAGGAGGTTGGGCTGAGGGAAAAGGAAAATGCATTTCTCTTTTGAAGTAGTCCCAAAGAAAATGATAAAGATTCCCTTGACCCTTCATAGAGGTGGCTATAGACAGGGAAATCAAAGCAGGCATCACTTAATATCAAATCTAGTTAATAAATACAAGGTAATAAATCAAGAAACAAAGTCCTCCCAAATCAAGACTTACCCACCTATGTGGAATAATCAATGTAAAGAAACAGATAAACTTTTGTATAATAGGAAAGCAAAGCATGAGCAGTATCCTAGAAGTTCTCAAGCACAAAGTCTCATATTTACATATTTATCTAAAAACAAGAACCCTTCTTTCAGACCTCACTCTGTCCTATAACCAAGTTCTTGCATCAAATAATAACCAAGGTGGGCCTATGGTCCTGATATACCCATAGCTAAATGAGGTCCCTTGGATTATCCCTATAATCATCATTATAGAGAGCTTCTGGTGCCTTAAGAAACCTTTCATGTCACCTACGCTGCCCTCTCTAGATGATAATGCTTAATCTAGTCAATTTTCTACCAGGCATGTGTACCAGTCATATTATGCTTCTGTGGTCAAAATGAGACAGGACTATCTCTTAAAGTCTATTACATTTTATAGATGCCAGCTGCTGTTTAGCACACGTTTTTCTCTTATCCTTGTAATTTTTGTTCTTTTTTGCTTAAGGAAACTCATTTCTAATACACTATAAAATTTTCATCTTATTTCTGTTATTAACATACTCTCTTTTGAAAGGGAGAAAAGAGGTAATAGATTTGACCAACATGTACAAGGTACAATCAAGATGACATTTTGACCAAATTGATCTAGGAGTTGAGGAAGAGCAAGAAATCTGGGTTGATTTCTAGAGCTCTTGCCTGGATGATTGAGTAGCCATCCTTTCTAAGGAAATATAATGAATTTAGTTTTAAAGGGATTATTGTATTTGAGAAGTCTGTGGAAGGTCTAAAATAAAAATGTCTGATTAGGATATTATACTGAGTAGATGTAGAAGAAAGAGCCTCTGCTTAACCATGGGTTGTTAAGTATGAATGCTAATACTATATTTCAGTGAAAGTCTATTGGGGAGGGGAGGGGATGGGAGCAGAGAGAAATGAAGAGAGGAGAGGTCCTTAGGCACACCAACAAATAAATGGGAAAAAGATATTAAGAGTCTTCCAAAAAAAAAAAAAAAAAAGGAAAGGAAATTAATGTTTGGCCCATTGTAACGTGGTATAAATATTCAATTTATTAAACTGGGGTCTACCATGTCAAAGTCTTCCTGAAATTAATAAGGGCCCCACTTGTCATTGTGTTGGGTGGACAATGGCAATAGAATTAAATGTTTTGATCTTGGACAAAGTAGAGGATGAACAAAAGCACAGTTAGAGCTACTATAGATTTTGTTTAAAAGCTGTTTCTCTTTATGTAATCATTAACAACATCCTTGTATTAGATGGGTTCTCCAAAAAGGAGATGCTAAGATGAAGTTAAGCGTGTTTATTGAGAAGTAATGTCTCAATGATAAATGTGAATGATAAAATGGGGAGGAACAGAAATGAGCAGGAAAAGCTTCAACCTGCGATACAGGTTTGGCATCAATAAAAATAACTGAAAGAAATGATGGTGGGGGTAGTATGGGAAGGATTGGCCAGGGAGGGCCTTGGTCTATTATGCAGATTTGAGAAAGTCTTAGCCAATCACACAGGGAGACCCAGTGCAAAGATTATTCCTTGAAGGAATTCTCCTAGGTCAGGAATGACAGGCACTGGAGCAGCTCAGTTAGAGTGAGGGCCTGAGGTTCAAGTATGTCCTGAAGGTTCTGAGGAGGCTGTCGGCTAACTTCATTCTTGCAGCTGGACAGCACGTTCTTTCCTAAAGAAGTATTAGAGCCGTGCACCTCCATGGGTGCCCACAATCCCCTGTCACTCTCAAAGCTATCCGATTTGAATGAGTTATATGATTACTTAGGTCAAAACCATCATACCTCAGACGATTTTCTCTATACAGACATAATCTCAGTGGTTATTACAGATTTGGGTTGATACCTCAAGTGAAAACAAACTCTCTCAGCTAGAATTTCATGTCTAATTAAAATACACAGTAGGGACTTCTGATTCTCTGTAATGTCAATTTATCTAAGGCAGTATCACCTCGGGTAAGAAATTCTGACTAAAATGCAATAGGTTCCCAGACTTTAAATCAATAATTTTTGTCTGTTTGTTTCCCAGTGGATATGTGGGTAGAGTCTTTTAAAAGTGCAATGGCAACCAGTAGAAGAAGTTAGGCTGAGGAAAGGAAAACAGGGCAATACAAGATTTCATGGTTCTTTCTCCTACTGTCAGCAGGCTCCTAAAATACACTTCTGCATATTGTAATGTGTATAGCTTTATACTTTGATGTTTCTTGGCCGGCTGGCCTCACCTGCTTTAGATTAGGACAGATGTGTTTAATTTGATTCTAACCATGTTTTATGGTTCCATCTGCA